CACATACCCCTTTTCTGTCCAGCAGGCCATAGGATGTTTTGAATCTCTGGAGATCAGAGTCATTTCAAAGCCAGTATCTAAGAACACTTATAAGGTCTGGGTATTTACCTTTCCCCAGGGCATTGTCCCCTGGTAAAAAATACTGAAAATGGCCTGTAGGAACATTCACCGTAAACATCTATAAGTGTGCAGAAGCCAACCTTTCCGTCCATTCAGAAGCTCTGGGTCTGTGAAGTGGTTTAAGTCTGAGAATTCTGCAAAGATTATGATTCCCCACTTCAACACCCAGAGGCAGAGACTGGGACAATGAAGCCAAAAAAGCAGGCAACAGTGAGAGCCATCAGAAGCTGTTAGACACAAGGGAAGGTTCTACCCAGGAGGGGGAACGTAACTCTGCAAATTGATTTCAGACTGCTGGCCCCTAAAAACTGTGAGAAAATATATTTCTGTTATTTTAAGCTAAGTTCATCACAACTTGTTATAATGACCCTAGGAAACGAATACATTTCCTTCCTATAAATTTGATCATCAATATTATAAATTATCATTGTGATAAATTCCTAGAGGATCAAGCCACTCTGTCTCTTGGGCCTTTGTTTTTGGTTTTAGGGTGGTAAGAGCACTCAAAATCTACCTTCTTAACATTTTTTTAGTACACAATAAATATAGCATTGTTGTCTGCAGACATGTATCTGCACAGCATATCTCTGGAACTTACTCATATTTCATAAATGAAATTTTATACCCATTGATTAGCACCTTCAGTTTCCCCCTTCCCCACCAGCTGGCAGCACCCACACTTCTGTTTTTTGCCTCTTTAATTATTTCAGATACCTCATATAAATGGACCCTTCAGTCTTTGTCCTGTCTGGTTGACTTATTTCACTTAGCATAATGTCCTCAAGGTTCATCCATACTATCAATTATTGCAAGATTTCTAAGACTGAATAGTATTTCACTGTATATATGTACAACTTTTTAAAATGTGTTCATTCAATGATAAACATTCACATTGTTTCCTTATTTTGGCATGTGAATAATGTTACAGTGAACGTGAGAGTGAGTGCCAAAATTTCTTTAAAATCTGAATTTCAATTTTTTTTATAAATACCCAGAAATTGGACTGTTGGATCATATGGTAGTTCTACTTTCAATTTTTGAAGAAACTTCCCAATGTTTTCCATTGCAACTGTATCATTTTGCATTCCCACAAGGGGGGTGCAAGGGTTCCAATTTCTGTAAAACCGTCACTGATATTTGTTGTATTTTAAATTTTTTGTCCCTAGGACACTTCTTATAACTCAACTTACTTCTTCTCTTACATTTAAGCTTCACCCCCAAGCCCCCAACTTCCCTATCACATTATTCCCACTAAATCAGATTATCAAATTCAAATTTCAGCATACCTATTGTCATCTTAAGACTACAGGGACCGGCCATCACAGAGATTTTCAATGATGCTGGTAATCCACTCACCAAGGCATTTCTTGAACTTCATGCCTCAATAAGATATTTCTAGAAAGTGTCTGGGAAGGTTTCACATGAAAGATCCACACTTCAACCATGCATCATCTTCCTGAACTTTTATGTTTTCCAGGGAATTTCTGGCATCTCAAGCTCATTAGATTAGGCCACTTTTGACACTCTAGGCTACTTACTGTAGCCTCAGCTCAGACTGCTCACATATCTGAGGAATATATGGACAACATCCTTGTTGGGGTGTGGTATAATAAAATATGTAGCATGTGGTAGTGCCATGGTTACCTAAATTACCACCAGCAGTAGCACAGATGGAGAATAAAGCACAAGGAGATCAAATACTTCAAGCACATAGTCACTTTGATGACAAAGATTATGGCAAGGAGTGAGTCTTTCTTACCTTAAAGGAGACTCAAAAAGAAAAGGATAAGTTGAAAGTTTTGAATGGTCATTTTAAGGCCCTGATTTTAAAAAAAAATCAGAATGTCTTTGCAACAACTACAAAGAAATTCCTTATTTTCTGTATATGTAGGGCAGATGTGACTGACGATTAAGTCAAGAGACTGACTGTAAGGTTTACAGAGCTGTTCTGTCAATTAAATCTGCACTCCTAACAGATCTCATTCTACATTAAGGATACTGATTCAAAGTGTGGCCTCATATGAATTAGCTGTACACTGAAGAGCTCTAACATCTTGGCATTTCTTATCAAGAGTCCCGAGAGTAAGTGTAAGAGTATATCCCTAAGGATATTAGACTAAAAATAATAAAGTAAGAGATTATGTCAAGCCAAATATATGTTCTTACCTAGAATTCAGAACTTAACATATAGGCTTGAGGCCCAGAAAATTGCTGGATATGTAGACTAGCCCTCAAACACTGGATCTCCTTCTGCACCCCATGCTGTGCCACCACCGATGATAATTTGAGTAACCATGTTGCTGACACATGCTGCGTTATTATCATTATCCCCCACCAGCAAGGAGGATGCCCATATGTTCCTCAAATGTGTGAGCAATCCAAGCCGAGGATTCCATTTTAAGGTTGGTCTCCTGGGATCAATTTCTGCTTTAGTCAGGATCTACCAGGAACCAATTGGTATACTCAGGCTATTTAGTTTGAGAAGCATGTTAATAACAAGACTGTTTACAAAGGAGAAGACATTATTTAAGGAAACCAGCAAGAAAAAGTAAACTAGCTACAAAAAGAAAGACACTCACTTGTGAACTAAAGGAGAAAAGGGAAAGAACGATTTCCAGAATCCAAAGTTGAAGTGAGGGAGGGATGATCACCCAACTGGAGCCATGGGCTTGGGCAGAGAAAAGCAGCCACCAATGACAGATCAAGAAACAGATGGGAAATAAATACCCACCCTCTGACTTTCTCTCAGGCCTCAAATCACCTTTCCAGCCCTGTCAATTTTACTCCAGACTTCTGTTCCTACATTGCTGTCAGCAGCTTCACCCATGAGTCAATAGGGGAATCCCTAAATTCTTTATTTACCCCTATCTATCTCCCCCTTGCTTCCCAGCCCTTATTTCTCAGAGCTGTCAAATTCTCACTGTCTTGCGGGAAAATCTGGTTACTTGTGTTCCAGTGTAAACTTGCATATGTCTGTGTTAAATTGTTGTCATTTTATCAGTGACCAAAATGTCCCCAATCTATTATGGCATTTGCTGGTAAAGGGACGGAGCAGGAGAATATCATGCTAAGCAAAATAAGCCAATCCCAAAGAACCAAAAGCTGAATGTTTTCTCTGATATGCAGCTGCTAATTCACAATGGGGGCGGGGGTAGGGAAAATAGAGGTATTTGGATTAGACAGAGGGAAATGGAGGGAGGGGAGAGGGATTAGAGTAGGAAGGATAACAGAATGAATCGTACATTATTACCCTATGTGTGCATATGATTATAGGACCAGAGTGATTCTACCTCATATACAACTAGAAGATGAGAAGTTATACTCCATTTATGTATGATGTGTCAAAAATGCATCCATGTATAATTAATTAGAACAATTTTTTTTAAATGTCCCTAATCTAGTCCCCTCTGTAATATGTTGTTTAGAAAGTTCCCAAAATGTCTGGATTGTGTACAAAAATGACAAGTGTTATATCACTTTCCTCTCTGATGTTCAGTTCCTTAACAATGGCAATGCAAGGTGCTTTTGCTAAGAAAAAGTGTAGACATCCTAGAAAATGTGTTGCGAAAATGTTATCAAATATGCATACAGAATGAAATTCTTGATCACTTAACTTAAAAGAACAGCTTCATTAATTGCTGATTAGAATTGGGAGGAAATTTTACATTTTTCTATAATTGTGAGTGAAATGCTGCTGTTTGAATTATAGACCTTCATGTTTAGTTCCCTCTCTGTGTTGATAGTTTCTCTCCATCCTCCAGATCTACTCCAACCCTTTATCCTCCTTGCTCTTTGTCCTGAAGCATATGACTTCTGACCACTCCTCTTCCAGCTTTCCCCTTGGGTTCTGCTTATGGGAAACCCAAGCACACTGGAGGAAGGGAAATTTGAAATGGGGTGGTTTTTTTTTCTTTCTCCATGAGATCACCCAAAGCTGGCAGTGCCATGGATAGTCTGTCACTGATCCTCTCCAAAGCCTTCTGTGCACTCTTTCTTTTCTGAGTTCCCAGGTTCCCCCCGCTGGGGTTCCTTTGAGAGAAGAGGTAGATTCTGCACACCTCAAACTGGACCTGGGTTCTGACACTATTTCCCTATACTCCACCCACATTTTATAATAGGTCCTCTTCTGAAGTGATGGTATTTTAAATGTGCCATCTCTTTCTTGTTAAGACTGATATACAACTGTGCATATACCACTGAGCCCTGACAAACATGTGGTCCAGGTCATTCTTCTGGGCTGTTGTGTCGGACTTGATCATATCTATTCTTGCCAAAGAGTTTCACCATTGCCCCATGGGGAGTTATTTTTCTCATAGAATAGTAGCTCCACTATTTGCCTTGTTTACAAAATTAAATGCAGGTTATTATGTCTGTGTTTACAAATAGTTTTAGTTATTTTACTGGGATTTTAAGAAAGAAGATAAAAGTAGATATTAAAAGACAAAGATAGAATTCCTATATTGAAATACAGTCTTTCATCCTACTTATAGAGTTTCAAGAAAGAGAATTCTCTGACTACTCTCCTACAATTATATTTTATCTTAAATAAATTATTTGCATTAAATGTTAGGCCTTGTTTTTGTTTGGATGTTGTATTTTAACTCTAAAGCATTTACTTTTTTTTTAATTTAGCGTGAAAAAATTTAAAACTAAAGGTTCTCTTTAAATTATTCATTTCAGTAACAGTTTAAAACTAATGCCTAACAAAGAAACATTTATAGAGATGTTTTCTCTTCACACAATTTATCATACTATGAAAAACAAAATATAATTAAAATTAATAAAAAGATAAAATTCCATTTCCATATCATGCAACTACTGTATTACTCTCTTAGCAGTGGATGAAAAGGTTTGTCATCAAACAAGTATTTCTGGATCCTCTAAGAATGAGGCCCATTGACTTTTATAATTTTAGGTGATGTATCAGTATAATATTTTTTTCTGATCTCATTAAATTCTCCATGATCAAGTATATAGGAAGCCAATGCTGGAATCTGAGAAAAGTAGTTCTTAGCCAGGATATGTTTGTGTTTGATCTTGTGGATAAATACTTGTCCATATTCCTGAAAAGAAAAGAAAATTAAATTATATTAAAAGTCACCACAGATATATGTCATTAGGTAAAAACGTTGCTGTGTCTCAGTGTCTTTGTTTAAAAGTTCATTATCCACAGAATACAGGTTTGTTGCCTGTTTTCTCTTACTTTGTGTTATTTTTCAGGGCTCACTGTATGATGTTTCAAACTAGAAGCCTTCCCCGAGTCTTCTTCTGGCCTCTCAAGTCCAAACCACTGCAAGTTACCTATCTAATATTCATTCTCTTTTCCATTTTTAGGTACAGGCTTAGTTTTATATAGGGTTAGATGTTCCCAACTTTCTGGTCTTTATTCAAGCTAGGAATTGCCATGTAACAAGTAACAAATTTATATTTACACATACACACACACACACACACACACACACACAGTTTGGCTACAGAAAAGTTTTTTGAAGAGATTTTTAAGAATGGGAAGACTCACGTATTAAGCATATTTAGTCCTTGACCATACTTGGGGTCAGATATAATGTAATTTATGCCAATTTATGACTTAAGAATCCACAAGCATGAGAATGAAAAACAAAGGTTGAAGCTGGCTGAGGAAAATCAGAAGGCCTGAGTTTCCAAGAGCCTGAGTTTCCTACCACACTGGCCTGGGACTGCCAACCTCTGACCTTGCTACATAAAGGAAACTAGACTCACATTTGACAAGTCATGATAAATGGCTCATTCTCATGTTGGGGTTAAGCCTGAAAGCATCCAAAACAATGATGAATCACATTCATTATAATTCTGCATTTTTCTCTAAGCACCTTGCATAATATTTAATACATTCAAAAGTAAATCCTGGTGGGCTGGCATTGTAGCTCAGTGGTGGAGCTCTTGCCTAGCACGTGTAAGGCATTGGGTTCGATCCTCAGCGCCACATATAAATATAATAAAGATACTGTGTCCATCTACAACTAAAAATGTTTTTTAAAGGTAAATTCTGATTAAATTAATAAACTTCATCTATTCTCTTTATTACTCTTATTTTCTTTTCAACCAATCACCTGTACATTACTTTCTGAGAGTAAGAAATTCTCCCACTAAAAATCTCTTTATACGGTCAAATCTAAGGTAAAGTCAGCCCTGGGGAAAAAGGGCCAATGGATTTGGTATTCATTTTTCTTAATTGGTTCTTTTTAGTTATACATGACAATAGAATATACAATGGCTAGTATTTTTACAGAAAGTTTTATATAGAAATATCCTAGATTTTTTTAAAGTTTCCTCTTTACAGAAAAATTTAGTAGATAAATACTTGTCCTTGGCACTAATCTAATTTTGTTCCAACGTTTGTCCGTATTTCATCCAAGGAAAACTAAAACATTTCTGTGTTGCTAGGTTAATGTATACATGTATAAAATCTTGTAGATTCCAAAGTATCCTTACAAATCTAAAAATTAAAAAAGATGAGCCAAGTATATTAGGGTATATGCATTCAAGGAAATATTAAGTTACTCTTTAAAAATAATATAATATGGAAAGTAACCCACTATCTATTGTTAAGCCAACCCAAAAAATCAAGTTACACAGCAATTTTTACATGAAATGAATGAAATTATATATACATACTTTAAGTTAAAAGTATGTGTAAATATATGTGTATATATACATATATGTAGGCATATATATGTGCACACAAATATACTTGCACATAGACACTTTTAGAAAGATTTCATTAAATTGTATATAAGAAATATAAGTTTTCTATGGAATGTGCATATAGGGATGGGTGGATATCAGGAGACTTTTATTCTTTATATTATTTTAACCTGTTCATATACTTAAACCAATAATGCATTGCTCTTCTTACAATTAAAAATAAAATGCACCAAAAAAAAATTTAAAATACTGTCATTTTATATACATAGTTACTACCCAAGTTGATTCATGCACAACACTAAGCTGAGAGCTTAGAGTTTTTTCCTGTGATGAGATAACATTATCTCCTTTTTATAGATGAGAAAACTGGGTCATCAAGACATTAGCAACCTTCCCCAAATCTAACTCATAAAGGAGAATGCCAGAATTCAAAGACAGGGCTGCTTTCGTTCTTTTTACAGATTCCACATTTTTAGATAATCTAAAAATTCATGAAGCAAAGAGGGCAGGTTGTTAGTGAAAAAGCTAGGGAAGAACTGGGTCAGGACTGCTGATTTTTAGTCCACAATTGTTCCTACTCTGGCCAATGTGCACACTTTGAGAGATCCATCTGCCTTCCTTAGATTCACAGAACAGAAGTCTTTCTCCATGCCTTTCCTATAACTTGTGAGATTGCAGGGAGTCAAGATTATTTTAAATTTTAAGTTTTTGACTTCCTGAGAAAGCATTTATCTCTGTGCACCAAGGAAATTCTGGAAATTCTTTAACTTGTTATAAAACATACAATATTCTTTAACTAGACCAAATATTACTACTTAAAAGATTATATCAGCCCAAATCATAAAAAAGGCAAACATTTTTAAGTTTGGTTGAAAACCTTCGCTTCGCTTCCAGAAATTCAGAAAGATTGGCACCCTGAAATTAAAAATGCTTGTGAATAGGACATTTAATTTGATACTGCAATAATTTCATTAAATACACAAAGGGAGTTGTGTGGATTAATTGAAGAAGCACTGGAATATCAGCGCTGGGAATGAACTTAAATCTGGGTCCTAGATGAAATGATATTGCTAGTATTGGCTATGCTTCCAGTGATTAAATATTTATAAGGCAGCTTAGTTTACTAAATATAACATTTAACACAGCCTCAATTTCTTGCTGCCCTTTCTTTCAATCCCTAGAGTAAAATTTATCTTAGCCTGAATACTTAAGACTCTGAAAATTATTGAAAAAAAAAAAAAGCTAAAACATTTAAGTAGTTTCTCCTTTTATACTAGACAAGTAAACCTACCCCGCTCTAAAAACAAACAGGCAGGGAATAGCACTATTCTAAATGATTATTTGACATCATTTCTTTATTTTCCTTTAGCTGACATCATGCCTGGAATTGAAGGTGCAGCAGTGTAACCAACTGAAGGCAAAGAATCAGTATCAGCCTTGGGATGCTGGGCATGGGTAGTGTAAATGGAGCTCTCTAGGAACTCTTCAGGGGGCCCTCAATTTTGCTCATCAAAATGTTTTACAGATTGCATCTTGTAAGTTATTGAAACTAAATGGTTTTTAATTTTGGCAGTGCTTTCTCCAATCCAAGTTAGAAGCAAAAAAAAAAAAAAAAAAAAAAAGCCCCATCAGTACTAAAGTACAAAATTATGAACAAAATACATTTGTCAATTGAGTGTACTTTTAGGCAACCTTGTGATAATTATTAATCAACCAAAGGACAGATGCTGAGTTTCATAATACCTTTGTGGTAGTAATATTTACTTAGTTTTTCAATAAGTACTTATTAAAACTCCTAGCCAGTGACAGGCACAATTATGGGTATTAGAGTATAGATGCAAATAAATGAAACAAAATCTTTACCCTCATGGAAATAATTGTGGAATTAATGGGCTTGAACTTGCTGTTAGAAGGTAGTAGCATGATGTTTAGGTATTTTTTCATTCAAATCACTTATCTTTACCTGTTATATGTTATAGCTTCCCTTTGTAATCTAAAAAAATATATTTTTACTGGTACATAATAATTACACAAAATAGTGGAATTCTTTTCTACATATTTGTACATGCACACAATTAAATATAATCTAGTTATTTTAACCTCTGCCTTCCATATCATCCACATGTTTTGTTACTGTTAATCTATAAATTCTGTTTCTTTTTTTTTTAATATTTATTTTTTAGTTTTCGGAGGACACATCTTTGTTTGTATGTGGTGCTGAGGATCGACCCTGGGCCGCACGCACGCCAGGCAAGCGCGCTACCGCTTGAGCCACATCCCCAGCCCCTAGATTCTGTTTCTTAATCCAATGGGGAAGTATTTAAATCAATCATGGAATGCATATAAAGGCAATGAAGTTACCCATGATAATTCCAATGAGTAAATTAACTTCCCAAATAAAGCACAAATTCTTACCTCTTCAATACTTGTTAGCTTAAGATGAGCAACTGCTTCATCTTTGGTGAGAAGAATGCAGTTCCAGGGAGACCACTCCAGGTTTTTATCCCATCTAACCAGGACCAGATCATTGATATCGTCCCAGGCACTGAGAACCGATTGTGAGGCCCAGATGTTTTCCATCAAGTACTGAATATCCTGTAGCTGCAGGTCAAAATAAGTTTGAAAGGCAATTTTGTTTTCTTCTAAATGAAGAATTTTGAAGATCTAATTAAATTATGTTCAGTTTATTTTTTAATGCAAATATCATTCATAAGGTGTCACAGGAATACAGCTCCTTATATTTTGCCTAAACTATATTACTAGTCTTAATTCATGACCCTAACCTAGAGTAAGCTGTATATTTCTTCCAGTATGCTAATTTTGCCTTAATATAATCACTGTAATGCCTTAATATTGCCTTAGTAAGCATATGATGTTCAATTCTTTCAAAAACTTGTTAGAAACTATCATCCTCAGGGCCATGGTAGGACTCTCGTAAGAATTTTTACTGCCATTTTACAAATAAGAAAGCTGATATTTAATAAAGATGAAATAATTTCTTAGTGTTAGTTTAAAATATTTTGTTGTTTTACTGAAAAAAAAGGGAAAGGTGGTGAAACAAAATAGTGTTTAAAAGTTTTTTAAAATTTTAAATCATATTAGCTAAAATTCTTGGAATAACTTTTTATCATGAGGCTGCATCTAATTGTCAGGGAGATACAAGCTTTACAAAGTACAAGCACTGCAAAAAGAACCATTATTTTTAAATTTATGTGGAAAAGCAGGAATCTTTTCTGTAAGATCAGCGATAAAACCTAAACAAATTTATCAAAGTTAAAAAAAAAAGATTTTTTTCACCATAAACACCTACAGTATTTCTTAAATGGATCATTCAATATATTAAGCTCAACTAATACAATCTCGCTTTTACTTAATTTTAAAAAAGACAATATTATCACAGCTGCTATGAAAAAGAAATCTATGGGGCTTTAAAATTAACACTTTGTACAGTTTTACTTATATTCAAAATTTGTGCCTTGCTCATATTTTTGTTTTTATTTTCCTCAATTGTATTAATAATTTCAAAATTGAACCCAAAAGAATGAAGTATTTACTTGTATGTAAATGTGAACTGTGCACATGATCAATGTGATTGGCAACTTCTAAGAACTGCCTTATATGCAACACTACGGCTGGGGCTATAACTCAGTGCTAGCGCACTTGCCTGGCAAATATGAGGCACTGGGTTCGATTCTCAGCACCACATATAAATAAATAATAAATAAATAAATAAAGGTCTATCAACAACTTAAATATTTAAAATAAAAAAAAAGAGCAACACTATTGTTTACTATATTAGATGGTCTCTGCATGGATTACAGATGAACTACGTGACCACTAACACACTCAGTTTCTTCTCTAAATAGAACCTGGACTTTCTACATATCTTAGCTTTCATCTTTTTACATTACTTGGCATTGTGTTCAAATTCAGTCTATGCTGATCTTTACCAATGCCCCTGACTTTCCTATTTACTTGATCAGAAAGTTCAAGCAGTCATATGCCTGCTAATAATATTACTGAACTAAATACTAATCAAAATTATTTCCCTTGCAAGAGGGAAAAGAGCAATTGGGCACCCATATTTGTGTAGTAATCCTGGACATTAGAAAAGTAAGGTAAGATGACCCAAACCCTACAGATGTACAGTATTCAAATTAAATTACAACTCATGGACACTATTCTGAACAGAAAGGCAATAATCTCTTAGGATGTTTTCTGAGATGTCCACTTTTGTGATATTAATTTTACATCAACTTGATGGGACCTCAAGATTTCTAGATATTTGGTTGATCAGCATTCTGAGTGCTTCTATAAGGGATTTGATTAACATTTAAATCAGTAGACTGTGTAAATCAGATTGCCCTCTGTAATATGGATGGGTCTCATCAAGTCAGCTGAAGTCCTGAAGAAAACGAAAGGTTGACCCTCCCCACAAGTAAGAACTCTCCCACCTGACAGCCTGTGAACTAGACTCCAGCTCTTCCTAGTTATGTAGCCTGCTGTTCTTCAGATTTGATCTAGGACACTGGCTTGCATATTGTGGCGTGGCCAGCCTCCATAGTCATGTGAACAAATTCTTTATAATAAATCTATCTAATATATAATATGAAATGTTGAGATGGCACTTACAGGTGAGTTATAGTAAAGCCCTAATCTAAGATTTCCAAAATAGTAACATCAACAATTCTTTAAGAAAAGCACATAAAAATTTAAGCCCTGAAGTAAACATCATCTTTATTTTTTAAAAATGTTAACTCTGTTGGAATACACACACACACACACACACACACACACACACACACATTGGAATATGGATATCATATATATAGCATTTATGTATATATAGAGTGTGTATGTGTATATATACATGTGTGTATACACACACACACACACTCATTTTTCAATTTGTTTTTCAAACTCTGGATTGCTACCTCTAGGTGACACGAAATTCTCTAAACAGAAATCAGAATAAGCAGTTTGAATTAAATAGAAAATATCAGAGGACATCCACAGTGGTAAAGTAAACACTATTTCAGAAAACTGTTATTTCTGAGGCAGTACAGTATACATTTAAATGGAGGGACTCTGGGAACCAGTCTGCCTAGGTTTCTGTTCTCGTGCTGGTACTTACTAGTATAAAATTGGGGCAAGTCAGCTAAACTCTCAGTGCTTCAGTTTCTTCATCTGCAGAATGGAAATAATTCCTATTTTGATAGTATTATTTGTGTTGAGTGAATGAATATATAAAGTGTACAGAGTATGTAAGCACTATTTGAATGATGGTTATTATTACTGTCATTATTATCATGGGTGTCTGTACTAGGTTGTGACAGATTGTGAGCAAGTGCTTGAAAGTTAATGATTTAGCAGTTTTGAACAAAGCACACTACATTTGGAAGATATTTTTTAACTCTAACTTTGCATAGAATATATTGCCTCATTTCCTATTTGGCATTAAATATAATTTAGTTAATTTTAATTAAAGATTTTATAGAAAATTTTACTTGACAGTTTATAAAACAAATATCCTATTGAGATCACCAGTGCTTTTTATGACTCACTTTTATTAATATATTGCTAATGTTGGGTGCTATAGTTTAGATCTGAAATGTCTCCAAAAGGCCCATGTGTTAAAAGATTTGGACCCAACTTAGCACTCTTGGGAGGTGCTAGAAACTTTAGAAGGTGGACCCCATTGGGAGGTGTTAGGTCACTGGGATTATGTCCGCAAAGGGAATTGTGAGTCCTCAGTCTCTTCTTCAAATCTCTCCCCTCTCTCTGCTTCTTAGACACTATTGAAGCCAGATTTAAAGTTAGGTAGTCAGTGTAGTTAGGTAAATCGGGTCTAATATCGAGAGAAATCTAAAATGGAGACCATGCGGAGAATGACTCAGGGAAAACACAGGACAACTCATGGAATGTTAATGAAGTCCCTAAAAGGCCCTAGGCCAAAGTCCACCTCAAAGAAATGTTAATGAACAGCCCCCAGCAAAAAGGTGCTGACTCAGAAGTCCTTCCTGACCAGATTACTTCTTTGGCCCACCTGTGTCCCACCCCTGGGGCCTTCCCACCTACATTCCATCACTGAAAGAACTATAAAAAGGGGAGACAACATCCCTTCCACGGATTCCACCTCTTGGGTCCCCTTCTTCCTCCGGGAGAAGTCTTTTCTGCTGTCCTTTAATAAACTTCTAATTTCTACTCTGACCTTGCCTCGGTGTTATTCTTCAACATCGGGGAAGCAAGGACTCGTCACCGGTCAACAGCGGTAACACTATGAAGTGAGTAATTTCCTCTCATGTGCTCTTGCTATGATGTGCTGCTTTGCCATAGGCCCAAAACCAACAGCACAAACTAACTATGGATTGAAACCTCTAAAGCATTCAATCCAAATAAACCTTTCCTTTTTATAAGCTGACTGTCTCAAGTATCTTGTTACAGTAATGAAAAACTGACTAATACATTGGGCAAAGTCATTTCATCAATAAATCCTTCTCTTTTTTCATTTTACATATCAAATTCAAATAGTGTCAGGAATTTGATTTTGTAGAACTGAAGACTCCTGTGACCTAGACAACACAATGAAAATCATGGGAAAGCCAAAGAGACCGCAGTAGTGGTTAAGTTAGGAATTCAGGTCAAAGTCTCTGATTTCACAGGCCTACTCTATTGCAAAGCTGAGAGTTATTCTTATGAGACAAACTACCAATGGGGTCAATGATCCAATGCAATGGTTTATCCAAAAGAAACTTTTTATTTAGGAAGATAAGTATCCACTCAAAGCTCTTCCCTAAGGTTTGTTTTTGTTGTTTGTTTGTTTGTTCATTTGCTTGTTTGTTCATTTGTTTTATTGCCTATAAGGCTTAGCTTTCACTTTCATATTATTACCATCATAATCACTTTCAGTATATACTAATAATTGCCATCATCTGCCAATACCAGTATGTTTATAAGCAACATCAATTTCTGGAAAAGTGAATCATTCATTCATTCAACAATTATTAAGTGATATACAGTCTTGGCAATGTATCAGGTTACAGAGATATATCATAAGAAGGAGAAAAAAAAAGGAACAACCCTGCCCTCTCAGGATTGATTTACAGTTTAGTCATTAAATGATCTCTCTCTCCCTCTCTCACACACATACATGACTGTAACAATGACATACATACAAAGAAAAGTATACATCTTTAATCATAACTATACATTTCAAGAATTATTTTATGTGAGGGCTAGCTCTGTCTCTTCATAGTTATTTCTGTCATTTTATCTGCTCACACAATCTTTAAAAAAGTCCTCCTCCCCCAGTAACTCTCTTTCATTAGATCATTCAAAAAAATTAACTAGAGCTGAAAAAAATTTGTTTTATCTATTCTATTTTTTTAAATTTGTTATTTCTAGATATACATGACAGTAGAGTGTGATTTGACATATTAGACATACATAGAATAAGTATAACTTGTTCCAATTAGGATGCCATTATTGTGGTTGTGTATGATGTGGCATTACATTGGTCACATATTCATATATAAAGATAGGAAAGATATGTCGGATTCATTCTACTGTCTTTTTCTATTCCTAGCCCCTCTTCCCTCTCTTCATTCACCTTTGTCTAGTCCAATGAACTTCTAATCTTTCCTTCCCTTGCTGTGGGTTAGCATCCACATACCAGAGAGAACATTCTGCCTTTGGTTTGGGGGGATTGGCTTATTTCATTTAGCATGATATTCTCTATCTCCATCCATTTACCAGCAAATGCCACAATTCCATTTTTCTTTATGGCTGAAAATATTCAATTGTGTACATATACCACATTTTCTTTATCCATTCATCTGTTGAAGGGCATCTGGGTTGGTTCCATAGCTTGGCTATTGTGCATTGAGTGGCTAAAAACATTCAACTGGTTGTGTCACTGTAGTTTGCTGATTTTAAGTCCTGTGGGTGTAAACTGAGGAGTGGGATAACTGGGTCAAAGGTATTCCATTCCAAGTTTTCTAAGGAATCTCCATATTGCTTTCCAGAGTGTGGCACCAGTTTGCATTCCCATCAGCAATGTATTAAGTGAAACTTTGTCCCCACATCCTACTAACATTTATTGTTATTTGTATTCTTGGCAATTGCCATTCTAACTGGGGTGAGATGGAATCTCTTTACTTATTTATTAACTGTTTTCTCATCTTTTCCTTTCCACCTCTGTAGAACATCAGCTCTGGACATATCATTATGTCTTAAAAAGCTACCTGTGTACACAGCAGGAATTAATAATTCTGTTAAGTGGATAAATTAACAAAAATCTATCCTTATAGAAAACAAAGTATAGTACAAAGTCAAAAATAAAAATTGTAAATGTTTATGAAAAGATTTTAATTACATATAATTATTACAGAAGTCATTTTACACTCATACATTCCTTTGTGTCCTTGGAAGTTAGTTACTTTGCTGTTTAAAATTTAATAAAAATTTTTAAAAATCTAGCAAGAAACTTTTGGATTTTCACGAAAAAATTCTTTTCATGAATCATCTCTCCTCCCTTTCTAGTTAAGGATCACTGTCATATCAACAGAATTAACCTATTTTGACCTGGCATGATATTCCCATATGAATCGAAAATGAAAATAGGAAAGTAAGATTTTTGGAAAGTCCATGTCTACAATGAAAACAGCATTTTTTTTCTTTTTACAATTTTAATTTTCAAGATGTATTTGTTTTAAAACCTCTCTAACACTGACAGTTTTATGAACTAGTCAAGATCTTTGGCTTCAGAAATACCCTGCTTATTTATTTTCCATCAACAATATCCTTTTCTCAATTGATTCACATAATGACCACACCTTTTAACATGAGTAACAGCCCCAAAAGTGTGTTTCTGCCCCTGTGTAAGCAGCCCCCACCCCAGGACTTCCACAGAAGTGCTTTCCAGGTCTCCACTGCCCTACCCATCACACACCACAGTGGTGTGCCCAGCTCCCAGTAGTCTTGCAACCTACTACCAGAATGGGGGGCTCTTGCAATTCTGCCCCAGTCCCCAGCAATGCCTGAAAAGAAGCTACACAAGCCCACTTTTCCGGAACAGCCTCTATTATAGTGTCTGTCAAGGGCTTCTGCATATTGCATAAATGATAATTTTCCCCCTTTGGAACAAAATAGAATAAACTGGGAGACCACAAACACCCATCCCAAGTGCTAACGTATACAATAGCACAATAGAAGAGTGCCTAAAGAGTCTCATAAGGAATATTTATGTGCCTTTTGCTATCTTAATGTTTCTATTAACGAATATTTTAAAAATTAAACTTGCTTTAAATATAGGAATATTTGTAATTGGATATTATAATTGCCCATAGTTTCTGCTCCAGGGAAGGCAGAGAAAAGCATAAGAGCTGGCCTCACAGCTCCCTTCTCCTCTTCATTGCCCATTCCTTACTCTTGGAAAAGTCCAAAGTTATTATATGTTTTAAAACTGAAGAGATATCTTCTCATTTTGGGGTAGACTAAACAGTGAAAATAATACCCAATTATTACTTAGTATCATCTAGAATGCATTTCAAAAGGAACTGTGAAGAGAATCTTGACAGATCCATTGAAATGCATTGCTTAAAGCGTTGTTTTTTAGAGCCAAGAAAGGCCTAGCAAAAGGACACCACCTCTGAGCGAAGCAAGGGCTTCACACCATTTTTGGAAAATGAGGCTTCTTAACCTATGCCTGTCTCAAGTAGGAACAAGTAGGAACAGGACAAGTAGGAACAGGACTCTGATTGGAACAGCTGCCTCACACAGGACTCACCTTGACAGCACTATAAACCACCTGTGTTTGCCACACCTCTATTTCCTGGGACTTCTGAGAGAGCCAGAGGGATCTTCTATTGTTTCCTAATTATTTCACTCTACTACACCAGGTTCCCACTTACCTAGTCACACCCCACCTTCCTTCCTCTTGTGCTCTTTCACTGTCCCTTCTAGAGATATCTTTCATTGGCCAGAATCAGAATACGTTACAGATATTTCCTCCCTTAAATTCAAGAGAGGAGATGATCCTCGTCCTAACAGAGGGAAATCTACAAGCCATGTTGGACATCATAATCATTTTTTTTCCACTCATTCATCTTATTTAAACAATTCACTGCCTTATCCTCTACTAATTCTTTTAATCATTGCAATAGCTCTAGGAGTAGGTACTACGAATATCCCCATTTTGCAGGCAAGTAGGTTGAGGAGCATACAAGTTAAGTAGCATGTCAAGACACAGCTGTTGAAGCAGAGTTCAAATTTGTTTTGCTGCCTCCAACATCCGGCCCTGTGTCTTTCATATCTCTCTCTCTCCATCTCTCTCTCTCTCTCTCTCTCTCTCTCTCTCCCTCTCTCTCTCTCTCTCTCTCTCTCTCTCTCTCTCTCTCTCTCTCTCCTGCATTTCCCCCAACAGCACTAAGTGTATTATATTTCCCTCATCTAAAAATCAGATGCCCATAATGCCTACCATCTCTGCTGCCACAGCACAGTGCCACCTCTGGCCCTGGGTCTTCCTGAACAATGCTCTTGAGCCGGTGACACTTTGTTTGTCATGGTCACCAGACTCATTCCCACTCATTCTTCTGTCTCATCCTGTAGGTCATATCTTCAAGGAAGCCTTTTCTGGCCCACAAATCAGCTTAAGTTCCCTTTCTAAATCCTGCAGGGTCTCCACACTTCTCCTCATCACACTGTCATCTGCTGTTACAAGGACTTGTCCTACTTTTTAATGTCTATCTTTTCTAGGATGGAGGGTCTGGTCACTAGTGCATCTCCAGGGCAAAGCACAGTACTTACATACCAAGAACATGTCTACGCCTACAACTCAGGGCTGGAATCACTGTCCACATTAGGAAAACAGGGGGGTGGTATTTCACACCCAAGCACACGTTCAACTGCAACCACTTCCTGTCAAGACATCATCCTTGACGGACTCATTTCAGCCAGGTATGGCACCCCATATGGACCATACCTGCATCAAGAAAGCAATTTGAGAGTCATCTTCATAATCCGCCTCTGAAGAGTACAGCCGCTGAAGTAAACACTTGTACTTCAAAAATGCTTCTCGTTGTTTAGCCTCATTCTGGAGGTTAGTGCAGTGGCGACATCTGTATATGTGCTTCGAAGTGGATGAGATGGCAAATTCCGTAGAAGGCAAATAGAGCTGGCAATTGCGGCAAAAGTAAATCTTCTTGTAAAATTTCAGTGGGTCTTGAGGGACCTAAAGAGCAGGAAAAGAAAAAGAAAAGGGAAGGTGCGAAAATCAGGCCAAACACTCATCAGAAGCACTGCGCACTAATGTTTAGAGTGAGTTACAAATTGGCTAATTTAAAAAGTCATTTCTCCTGAACTTGCTATCTATACAAAATTTAAATTCCATAATCTATACAAAATTTATTTACCCTGCCAAAATATGAATGATACCCTGTATCATTCATTAACCCCTAGAAACATGTGGCAAATCACTAGAAAATTAATTGACAGGAAAAAAAAAATAGTGGGCAGAGTCTTTCAGCACTTATTTGAAAAGAGTTTATATTTTTATTCTATTTTACTTAATTATTTCTATAGGCAAAATAGCCAGTCTCGCATATAAATGAAAGCTCACTATGCCAATTATTCTTCTCATTTCATGAATTTAAAAAATGAATTCAAATTAGTTAATGATTAATTTTCAATATTTGAAACTCCATATCTAAAGCTGTGGGCAGGAAGTAATTCCATCTTAGAAGATTCAACCCAATTGTTCTTTATGGGCCAAAGTACCATGAAGGAAGGAAGGAAGAGGGAGGAAGAAAGGGAATTAGAACACTTTCAACCCAGACTGAACAAAGACTTACTTATGTAAGCCAGTCTTTCCTAATCTATGGTACATCCATATTTTTGGCCTCCGTGAGAAGAAAGATTAAGCAGCAACATAGTTGGCATTTAATATATGAAACTTTCAAAAATATATTTTTGTTGTTTTGTGTTGTCAGTGCTGGGGATAGAACCCAGTGCCTCACACATGCTAGGCAAGTACTCTACCACTGAGTTACATCACCAGCCCTTAAAAATATGTTAATAAAGAAGGAAACAGGCATCAATGTTCACTTGTGTCTTTTTTCTCTTACTCAAGGTAAATTTATAGTATTGACCACATAATCCATTCTTATGATTTACTTTGTTCTGATCATCTGTTTCTGTACCTTCCCTTCTAGTCTGCTTTACTTTTCCCAAATGGTCCATCTTCCTGAAGAGTAATATTCTTTGAGAATGTCATTGTCCGCTGCCTAATAATTTTTTGGAGATAACAATATGTACATTAAAAAGATAGTTAATTGCTCTGGAGGAAAGAAAAGTGATCTCGACATATAATCAAATAACTCAAAGACAATATTTCTGGGTTCTTATTCTGAGATCTACTTACTTAATATTATTTTCCTTCCTCTTAGGAATTAAACTAGACATTATATTAGTCAGCTCATGAAAGCCAGTTAGGAATGATAGACCATTGTGAAACCATGAGAAAATTTTCTCTACCACCCTGAAACTGTATAAGACGACAACTTAACCCTATTAGGCTTATGATGGCAGAAAACTTTTAATTAAACTAAGCTACATAATTTGGGGATGGGGGCAGAGGATTAGTGGTATTTCTACAAATTCTTGTTCCACTAAGCAAACTAAAAATGTACAAGGAGCCACTCTTCTTTAAAGTCAGTAACATTTTTTTAATCCTAGCATGTAGTTTGAGATATAAAAGGATGTATCCCCAAAAAATAGAAGCAGCAAAGATTATCTGAAGATTTTCCCTAGATAGTAGAAAAAAATCTTAAATCCTTTGTTTTAATGAATATTTTCACAAAGGCATGAGCCAAACAGTAATTTTAAATTGGATTAAAAATTAAATGGGTTATAGGTTGAATTTACTTGACAGAAGTTATTTAGAATGATCATTTTGACTTTTTAAAATTTTTTTAATTTATTCTAATTTGTTATACATGATGGCAGAATCCAATTTATTTCATATTACACATATAGAGCACAATTTTTCAAGACACTGATTGTACACAAAGTATTTCTTTTGAAGGTATGAGAACTTCATTTTTGGCATAATTTCTAAGTTTACCTCACTTGGGGAAGAAGTTTGTCTTAATTTTGTTTGATAGAATTCTTTCTAAAATGTTTTAATTTCCTTTGTTTAAAATTAAAGCATACAGAACATAATGTAGTCAGTCAGGTATGTCATTTTTAGGATAAATTAGAATATTTTTATGAGCATATTCTATAGTATTGTGGTAACAGACCATAGAATTATTTGATTATTGCACAGTGTATCTGCTTCCCTTTTCACTCTAAAACAGTTGTCCTTTCCCGCTATTTTAACTGTTCCTACCTATGAGGCACACATATCTTTCCAAATTTTATTTTTACGCTGTTTGAGGATAAAAAACAAATCCCCAATTTTGCTATACTTTCTACTCCAGTGGATTTAAATGTTATCCAAATGATCAATCAGTACTTGCAACTCTAACTCCTTCTCAGAACTTTCCACAGGAACAGAAAACAACAAAAGAAATACTGACTTCCCAAAAACTCAGCTTCTCTTTTCCAAGACATGATCTTTGGAGAATCTCTCCTCAGATTCTATAGCATGTGGTTATAACTTTGCTTCCTGCTCTACAATTGTACCCTCAGATCCCGGTGAACCATCATTATATCTTCTGTGCTTTACATATTACCAGGCATACAGAAAATGTAAAAAAAAAAAAAAAAGTTTGTACTTGAATAAGGTTAAATATAAATAGATAAAACTAGCATGAGTTACTCTTGTGGAATTAAATATATTGGTTTAAATTCAAGATTGAAGCAGCTATTTCAGGTGCTCAAAGATGATCTAAGGTGCTCCTATGTTACTGAATTCAATCACAGCTTCAACTGCTGTTTGCATGAGCATTGAGTAAGGCAGGAAAGACTGCACTCCAGGTTATTAATGCTGATTGTCTCAAGGGATTCAAGAGTAGGAAATCAAACTGAGGAAGGGTCGATGAGGAACAAAATAGTATAATATGAGGAAGAAATCTCCATTAATGCAAGAAAAATATATTTGGTAAATTCAGTATTGATCCCTTACTCAAACAACCAGAGATCAAAAGCAAGACCATTATCAAGAAATCAGGAATTGAAGAGGCACTCTTTAACTAGATAAAAGGCATCTCCAGGGTTCATTATCTGTGCCGTTCTGTCACTTATAGCCCTGTGTCCTACAAATTTCAGTGGTGTTGATCTCAGGGACTAATAAGACTCTTGATCTCTCTCTTCAACCCAGGGAATCCTCTCTCTTTGTATTGTAGCATGGACAGTTTTTCAGGGCAGTAAAATAAGACAACTGTAAGGCTGCTTCATTTGTTTCCTGTCTCCTAAGAACCACACTCTTCCATTGCCTGGTGTCTTAAAAAACATGGATTCTCCTTTTTCCATTTTAATCATATAACTCCAACTTACTTCATCTTGGCCAGAAGTGAAAGAAAGTGATCAATTATATTTGACAAAGGTGCCAAGACAATTCATTATAGAACTGTCTTTAAAGGGCGGGGAGGGGGGGGGGGCAATTCACAAAACAAAAGAAGAAAATAGCCTTAAGTAATCCTTCATACCTTATAAATAATATTTGAGAATGGATGAGAGCCCTAATTGTAAAAACTTAAAATGACAAAATTATAAAATAAAAAAGAGAAGAAAATTCCTGTGGACTTTGACATTAGGCAAAGATTTCTTAAATACTAAACCAAAAGCAAGATCCATTTTTTAAATGAATAAATTGAGCCTTATTGTAAAAACTTCTCTATTAAAGACACTACTAGAAGAATGAAGACACACAGAAAGAGATATTTTCAATTCATATTTCTGACAAAGAACTTACATACAGAATAATTTGTAAATTCTCAAAATTTAATAATGAGAAAATAACCATAAAAAAGAAGAAAGATGGCAAAAGATACGTACGGACATATCACCAAAAAGGTCTATGTATGGGAAAATGGATATGAAAAGATGTTCAATATTATTATCATTACTTTTATACTTATCATTAGCTATTAAGGGAATAAAAATTAAAATATATAAGACACCACTACAAAATCTGTTAGAATTCTCAAAATTAAAAACTGATATACATGTATTGATAAGGATGTGAAGTAACTGGAACTCCCACACATACAGCATTTGAGAATTCAACCTTGAACTACTAGTTTGGAAAAAAAGTTTAGCAGTCTATTATAAATGTAAATGTGCATTTACCAGGTGGCTCAACAATGCTACTCCCAGTAGCATTTAAAAATGAGAAAATGTAATCCCAACCCACTTACCTCAAAACTTTTTTTATGTATATGACAGTGGAATGCATTACAATTCTTATTACACATATAGAGCATAATTTTTCATATCTCCGGCTGTACACAAAGTATATTCACACCAATTCATGTCTTCATGCACGTACTTTGGATAATAATGATCATCACATTCCACTATCATTAATAACCCCATGCCCTTTCCCTTCCCCTCCAACCCTTCTGCCCTATCTACAGTTCATCTATTCCTCCCATGCTCCCCCTTACTATCCCACTATGAATCGGCCTCCTTATATCAAAGAAAACATTCAGCATTTGGTTTGGGGGATTGGCTAACTTCACTTAGCATTATCTTCTCTAACTCCATCCATTTACCTGCAAATGCTATGATTTTATTCTCTTTGGGGTATTACCCTCAAACTTATAATCACATGTTTATAGGTTTTTATTCATAAAAGCCCCAACTCTAAACTCAAAATTTCCTGTAGAGATAAAAGGATAAAAGTGAAGCTTATGTGTATCCAGACAATAAGATAATTGCTCAGTCATAGCAAGGGACTACTATACACTCAATAGCATGGGTGAATCTCAAAAGCAATATGCTAATCCAAAGAGTTAGTCTCAAAAGACTGCATACAATTCCATGATAGCATGATTTCACTTAGATGACATTATGGAATAGATCAAATTATGGAAATAAAGTGCAGGTCAGTCAGTGTTTGCCAAGGGTTGGGGGGTCAGGAAAGTGCTGACTACAAAGAGCAGCATAAAAGAAATTCTCTCTGGTGACAGAAATATTACCTAGACTGTACTGTTAGTTACATGACTTAACACATTTGTCAGAATTCACCAAAAAGAGTAAACTTTGCCAAAGGTAAATTTAAAACAT